GGGAGCGCGGTCCCGGCAGCCTGGCGTCGTCTCCCGCGCTTAGATCACTGTAATGAAGTGAAAAGAATGGGTCCCAAAGCCACCCGTACCCAACTGCACATACTCCTTTGTTTCCTAAAGCCAGGGTGTACTCATTTCGAAAAGTGAAGCTGGTCGAACTTTTGCTATATTTCCATTTGGGGCTACACCAATGTATAGTTTGGGAGCTGACTGGCCTCTTTTAAAAACCAAGCTGGAGCCTTGGCTGGTGTGGCTCAGTAGGTTGAGCACTGTCTTGTGCACCAAAAGGTGGCCAGTTTGATTCCCCATCAGGGCACATGCCCAGGGTGTGGGTTTGGTCCAGGTCTGTGCAGCAGGCAACCGATCAGTGTTTCTCTCTCCCCCCTCTCTCCTTCCTTCTTCCTCTCTCTAAAAATCAATAAAAACATAGAAACAAAAACTTAAGCTGGAAAAGAAAACATCCAGTTGTCACTGAGATTCCACAACTTAATGATTGGTGGATAATGACTGCTAATTTAAGTGTGAGACTAGCTGTCCCTTTTCTGCATGGATATCTCAATGCATATTAAATACACTGTGGGATCTGAGATAGAAATACCTACAGACAAATGCTTTTTAAAAAAATGTTTTTATTGATTTTAGAGAGAGAGGAAGGGAGAGGGAAAGAGAGAAACATCCGCTTGAGAGAGAAACTGGTCAGCTGCCTCTGCACACCCCCTGCCATGTGCCCTGAGAATCAAACCTGCCACCTTTTGGTGCATGGGAAGGGTGCTCAACCAACTAAGCCACATCTGCCAGGGTGCCAAATGCTCATAATGGAGGGAAGAGGGCCTCATCTTCCCTGGCTGCTAGTGGATGTGGAATCCTGGTGATATCCCAAGAAAAAGAATTTCCTGAGACTTGTACAGAATGAGTGATTTTTATTTCTGCAGATTTAAATCCCTGAGTTTCCAAAGTCCCATTTCCTTCAGTTCAGCATAGAAGTGTACCTGGGGCTTCAGTAGAGCTAAAATCAGAGCCAGTGTCCAGTCCATCCTCAGGCTAGCTTAGCTTGTGTTTCCTGCTGCATTCCATTTGTCCATTGTGTGTGGAGTTCTTACGGCCCTGGGGCATACTGCCAAGTGCAGAGAAGTCAAGAGTGAGGCAAGAGCACAAGAGAGCTAAGATATTGAACTCTTTTGTTTAGGAGATTATGTATTTCCAAATTTGGGGGCACTTGAGGTGGACACACCCATTCTAGCCAATGATCTTTGTTCCCAGGTGTGACTGATATGCAAGTACCTTCCCTATGTCACCCCATCTTGACTGCCCATGGTGTCTATCTTCCCTTTGCTGGATCCCTTCCCCCAGTGTTTTGCATGGAATAGGCTGATGTACCCTGGGGCATGCAAAGTTTCAGCCTCCTGGTGAAGCTGTCCAAACAACATGCCTATAACATCTGGCTTTCCCTTTGCTCCTTTCCTATTATTAATAATTAGCTAATTACAACGAAATCACTCTGACCTTTAGGAGTTTACAATTCCCTGGAGAAATTTAAAGGATATATACAATTCTTAGGTAGTACAGTGCAAGATACAGAAAGAAGCTGGTGAACATAAAGACTTAAAAAACAAAACAAAAACCACTCCATTTAAATTCACATGATAACCAGAATGCTGAAGGATTGGGGGCAGGGGGTTTCATTCATGTCTTATCATTCTTATCTTGGATTTGAGTACTGAGAATTTTGTGGACTCTCAGAGATTTTAAATTTGGAGTTACTGATTTATTGAAAATTATGTGACTCACATTTCACATCTGAGTGTACACTTAGGCTTTTAAGTACTTGGTTGTGTTGACCCTGAATGTACCTGTTGAGAAGGGCTCCTGGTGGCTAATGGATTTCCTGGTGTCTAACGGAGCCTAGTAGCCATTGCTAAACAGGCCTCTCACCCAAGCCATGCTTCTCCTGAATTAAACTGCCTGCCTCCTGCACTGAAATTCCTGCCTGCATTGTGTCCCTTCCACCTGAGCCAACCCTTATAAAGAAGTTCCAGGAATTGTAATTCAACCAATAGGACTGAGGCTTCCGGGTCCAATTGGATAGCTGTGCAGCTACGTCCTCATTTACATCTTCACCAACCAATCAGAAGCTCCATTGCAGCCAATCAAGACAGTGCTTTTTGGACCAATCTAACTGTGAGGATTTGGAGTCCTCATTTGCATGAGAACAGATCAATTAGGGGCCCAGGGGAAGAACTTTTCCCTATATAAGCCAGATTCCCCTCTGTCTTGGTGAAGTGCACTTTCAATTTCCATCAAAGACTGGTTTCTCTGGATGAAGCTGAAATATTGATTGTGCTGTTTTACTGGAACTGTGACCCCGGAGCTGTAATACCAGAGCTGTAACACTGGGGCTGCCTGGCTCTGGCTGCCTCACAGCTGTGCTGTATCACAATTGACCTGTTCTTCAGCAGAAATGTTCCACATCCAAGCTGTTCCCCAGTTGTGCTGTTTCACAATAGAGCTGTTTGCATTGAATAGTCTCTCTGCCCTCACCGCACCCCAAATTGGGGGTTCTTGTGTTAAATTGGCAATGACAGTCTTTAGCTGACAGTTGTGATGTTAATACAGAAAATAACAGCATGTTCCAGATCACTTGTATATGAATTTTTCTATGATGTAATATCAGGAGCCACCAATCGGTTCTATCAATTCACTTCCATTAGTGGGAAGTAGAACAGCTCAGTTTGATGTGTTTCAGTCATCTCCCCTCTTTCCAAGTCCAAATGCTACTATTCCTGCAAGGCTCGTCTAAGTTCTACATTCTTTACGCAGTCTCACTGTTCTAATTACAATTCACCACTGAGGAACAGGGGTTTGAATTGGTAGGTCTACTTATACACAGATTTTTTCCCCCCAATAAATATTGTATTGGCTTTCTGTGTTTCCAGTTTTAGCATCTGAGAATTCAACTAGCTAGAGATGGAAAATACTGTTCAGGAATGCACAGATGAGGTGGGCTGACCTTATGCATTGTTCCTATATAAGGAACTTGAGGATCCCGGAATTTTGGTATACACAGGGGTCCTGGAGCTAATCCCATGGGATACTGAGGGATGAGAGACTTCTGTTAAGTTCTGAGGGAGTCAATAGTTATATGTGGATTTTTCTACTGGGGTGGGGGGGCATTCCCCCAACCTCTGTGTTGTTCAAGGCCCCACTATAATTTATTTCTCTCTTCCCCAGGAAAGAGAATGAAATAAATATAATAATTGAAAAATATAAAATTATCATTATTTTCAGATGATTATACAAAGGGAAAGTTTAATAAAAGCAATTTAAAAATTACTAACAAGAAAATTTAGAAATATAGCCAATTACTAAATCAATATACAAAAATGAATGTTTTTTCTAATTACAAACAATGGCTGGTTAGATTATCTAATGGAAGAAAAAAATATTCACAATAGAAAATTTAAAATATGTGTTTTGGCTAAACTTAAGAATGTACCAGACCTATATCAGGAAAAGTATGAAGCTGTCATGATACAGAAAAGACAAATAATTGGATAGGAAGATTCAATATTATAAGGTTATCAATTTCCTGAGAATTAATTAACTAATACAATTTTCACCCAATTAAAATCCCAATAAGTTATACTTTAATGAAAATTATTTTTGAATATCTTAATAAGATTTTTTTAATTTGATAAAATAATCCTAAACTTCATAAACATGGAAGAATTAGAACCTCAAAACCCTTTTCTTTTGTCTGGTCATACTGCAGTGAGTGATAGGCAGGTCTTCTACTCTAATGGAGTTTTCTGAGTTCTTTTTGAGGGGGGCGGTGATGTATACAATAAGTACAAATTAAAAAAAATAGCTCGGCCAGTGTGGCTCAGGGGTTGAGCATCGACTCAGGAACCCAGAGGTCACTGGTTTGATTTCAGGTCAGGGCACATGCCTGGGTTGTGGGCTTGATCCCCAGTAGGGGGCGTGCAGGAGGCAGCTGGTGGCAGATGTTTCTCATCCATCTTTCTATCTATCCCTCTCCCTTCCTCTCTCCCTAAAAGTCAATAAAAACATTTAAAACATAAAAATAATAAAATCACCTCTGAGAGTAAGGAGTACCATGAAGACAAACAGGCAATATGTTAGAAAGTTACTCATATTTGTGCTGTTTTTTAGACTGAGTGGTCAAGGATTGCCTCTCTGAAAGGACGTTTGAACTGAATCCTACAAAGGGATTTTTAGCATTTTCTAAACAAAGGTTTATTTCTCAATGACATCATAATCCCACTGAGGAACTCTGCTGCTTATCTTCTAGGGTGCAGGTTGAAAGAGTAACCACCATCTTGACACT